TACGCCGTGGCGACATGCCAAGTTGGCGCGTTGCCATTGATCTCCAGAGTGTAGTTTTTTTTTCTTCACCCATCATCAAGGGGTTAAACCAATGACACTGGGAATGCCAGTTATATATGTTCTGTTCACAGTAATTTTACTTTCTTTATTCTGTTTACATAGAGAAGGTTCCAAATTTTTTTAGTTACCAAGGAGTCCATTATGAGGCTACTTAATATAAGCTGTTTACCATAATGCTTGAACATTTTTGGAAAGCAAAGGTTTTATTACAACTATCACTTTATAAAGTACTAACAATGTTAACCCTTTGCTGCCATGTGGCATGCCATGGCATGCCTGGGCTATATTTCGGGTGGCATGTGCATACATCCCTTGCTGTGCCAATCCCGTTTCCAGGGCATGTATGGTCATGCCATGCATGCTAGGGGGACAACAAGAGTCCCCCTGGCAGCAGTGGCTGGGCGTCTATGAACAGAACCCGTGAGAGAGGGCTTGCATATTGGGAAATTACCCATTGTCAATAGGTTAATGAAAATATTGTTAACACTGTTAATAATAGTTATCAGAAATTAACTTTTTTTCTGAAAAGTCAAGGAATAGGGTAAACAGGCAAGGTTAGTCAGGTAGGCATAGCAACAGACTTCTTGATTACCAGGTGTTTGTGAAGCTATCTATATGTAAACAAAACTTACAAAACAAAACTAGTGGACAATGCATGTACCCAGCTTTAAGATGTTAGATTTCTAAAAACAGGTTTATATATTATGCTCTACAAAATAATTACTTTCTAGATTTCCATTAAATTTTCAGTGTTACAATGAAAACTACCTTGTTATCCAAAGGTTTCTTCAGAATACTCTTCAATAGCAGAAAAATATTAAAGGTACTCTTCTCGGAAAAAAAAAAAAAAAAAAAAAAAAAAAAAAAAAAAAAAAAAAAAAGGCATACAATTCTCTTGATGAGTTTATACACCTAATATGCATATTTTTTCTTTTTTCTATCTTTTTTGGTTCTAAACCAAGTTGTCTTTGCACTTAATTTTCACTATAAAACTAAACATACTTTGCATTGTAATGTATGATATCTACAAGGGCAATTGCTTAATGAAACATATTGTACTAATTTTGCTGATTTATTGACTAGTTCCACCATAAGAACTAATACAAGAAATGTAGGGCACAATTCACAAGAAAAAAAAATTCACAATGTGTGATAATATTTCCCTAAGCATACCAACTCCCACCGACCATTTGCTCACATGGTTGCTATATTCATATAATTCATTCACATCATCTTTTTACTATAACAGTAAGCTGCATAAGTGTTGATATTAAACACTGTATTACATAGGGAATGTGGGATTCAAAGGGGACATGGTACTTCACATAAAATGACAGACTTATTGAAGGTATTACAGGAAGACTTCTAGAAATAGTTCTAGTGGTTATGCCAAGCCAATTAAACACTCTATCACTTAATAATACCAGCAGATCATAAATTCCTGAAAATTCCTTGTCTATAAATATTTGCAAGTAAAGAGATGTTTTAACTCTCAAAAAAATAAATTAACAAGAAATAAAATAAGAAAAAATGAAATTTAAAAAAACACTAAACTAACAGTAAAAGAAGTAATAATTAATATAAGAAGCAATTTTGATGTGTATTCTAAAGTAGTATAGGAGGATATGCAGCTTATAAATATATTTTCAATCTTTCCAAAAATTTCTATCAAATATTTTGAAGGTCAAGCCCTGTCACATTACTGGAATTATCGAAAGTAAAATGCTGCAACACTGTAGACAAAGATGGTAACAGAGCAATCATACTCCATAACAAATAGAAATTGGAAGAAAGGTTGTTCTCTGTTAATGAAACATTGCAACTGACTGCACACTTGATGAATAATGTACTTTAAGAACACCAGAAAGTATTTGTGAAAGTATTTGTCTTCCCTCAAGGTACCAAAATGTTCCTGAAGAGCTTTCTCGGTTATTCTTTTTAAATATTTCAGTCAACTGCTGAATTTTTTGTTTGAAAGGAAAACTTTTTCAGAGTGACAAACAAATACTGACCTAAACTTATATCCTTAAATATCTATAACCAAAATGAGTATCCTTTGAGCTAGTCTATTTTGCATGCTGTAATGCTACAGTAATAATGAATGAATGAAGTACAAAAGCTCCTCTACTAATGCTAGGTTGACACACAACTTTGCAATTATGTAATATCACTTTATGCTGGTCACTATGTTTTTTCAATGCATGTACATATTGCAGGATTTGGGTGATTACTGAGATACTTATTTCCAGTGTTTACCATTTACCTCTGCAGGTATATAGCGTATAAATGTATACTTCTCTGATGTCTCTAATTATACCTAGGGGGAAACAGGAAGTAAATTGCAAAGCAAATTGCTGGTAAATGGGTGTATTAAAGGGATCTATAGAAATAAGGGTCTCTGGATTGTAACCCTTATGCAAGAAAAGGAAACAGAAAAAAAAAAAAAAAGGCATACAATTCTCTTGATGAGTTTATACACCTAATATGCATATTTTTTCTTTTTTCTATCTTTTTTGGTTCTAAACCAAGTTGTCTTTGCACTTAATTTTCACTATAAAACTAAACATACTTTGCATTGTAATGTATGATATCTACAAGGGCAATTGCTTAATGAAACATATTGTACTAATTTTGCTGATTTATTGACTAGTTCCACCATAAGAACTAATACAAGAAATGTAGGGCACAATTCACAAGAAAAAAAAATTCACAATGTGTGATAATATTTCCCTAAGCATACCAACTCCCACCGACCATTTGCTCACATGGTTGCTATATTCATATAATTCATTCACATCATCTTTTTACTATAACAGTAAGCTGCATAAGTGTTGATATTAAACACTGTATTACATAGGGAATGTGGGATTCAAAGGGGACATGGTACTTCACATAAAATGACAGACTTATTGAAGGTATTACAGGAAGACTTCTAGAAATAGTTCTAGTGGTTATGCCAAGCCAATTAAACACTCTATCACTTAATAATACCAGCAGATCATAAATTCCTGAAAATTCCTTGTCTATAAATATTTGCAAGTAAAGAGATGTTTTAACTCTCAAAAAAATAAATTAACAAGAAATAAAATAAGAAAAAATGAAATTAAAAAAACACTAAACTAACAGTAAAAGAAGTAATAATTAATATAAGAAGCAATTTTGATGTGTATTCTAAAGTAGTATAGGAGGATATGCAGCTTATAAATATATTTTCAATCTTTCCAAAAATTTCTATCAAATATTTTGAGGGTCAAGCCCTGTCATCACATTACTGGAATTATCGAAAGTAAAATGCTGCAACACTGTAGACAAAGATGGTAACAGAGCAATCATACTCCATAACAAATAGAAATTGGAAGAAAGGTTGTTCTCTGTTAATGAAACATTGCAACTGACTGCACACTTGATGAATAATGTACTTTAAGAACACCAGAAAGTATTTGTGAAAGTATTTGTCTTCCCTCAAGGTACCAAATGTTCCTGAAGAGCTTTCTCGGTTATTCTTTTTAAATATTTCAGTCAACTGCTGAATTTTTTGTTTGAAAGGAAAACTTTTTCAGAGTGACAAACAAATACTGACCTAAACTTATATCCTTAAATATCTATAACCAAAATGAGTATCCTTTGAGCTAGTCTATTTTGCATGCTGTAATGCTACAGTAATAATGAATGAATGAAGTACAAAAGCTCCTCTACTAATGCTAGGTTGACACACAACTTTGCAATTATGTAATATCATTTTATGCTGGTCGCTATGTTTTTTCAAAGCATGTACATATTGCAGGATTTGAGTGATTAATGAGATACTTATTTCCAGTGTTTACCATTTACCTCTGCAGGTATATAGCGTATAAATGTATACTTCTCTGATGTCTCTAATTATACCTAGGGGGAAACAGGAAGTAAATTGCAAAGCAAATTGCTGGTAAATGGGTGTATTAAAGGGATCTATAGAAATAAGGGTCTCTGGATTGTAACCCTTATGCAAGAAAAGGAAACACAGAAAAAAAAAAAATAAATAAATAATAATAATAAAAAAATAAAAATAAATAAATAATAATAATAATATCAATAATAATAATACTGAAGTGATAAAAAGAACAGCCTTAAACTGTTACAAATAATAATAGAACAAGAAAAAAAGTATGCAAAATCATAAGAAACTTATTTCAAAATGAATCATGAGCCTATCAAAATAATTGCTACTTTTCCTTCAACATTTAGCATTACATTTTCTGTATACTGTAACAAATAGAAAAACACACATGCTGGACATGGTTAATCCAATGCCGCTGGGAAAATGCTATGCTCATTTTTTATTTATCTATTTATTATTTTTTTTTTTGGTGAAATGTATCTGCACACAGATGGCTCTGCTAGTGCTTAGTCACGAAGGAGTCAACCTTGTGACCTTACCTGATTTTTCCTTTCCTTGAATTGGTGGGAAAAATGTTGTAATTACTAATGCTATGAATATCGGTGTTATTTTTATCATGGACATTATAATTACTATAATGTTAAAAGCATTAGTAACAACAAAATAAGACAGAATAAAATATTTTTGTAAAGGAAAAGGGTAAATGGGCGAGATAGGCAGTACTAGTAATTGGCTCACTGGTAACTTTGTGCAAGTGTAGCGATCTATGTGTAAAAACAATTGATAAAGCAAACCCACAGAGGACATGGGATGTATGTACATGCCATGCCCAGTGGCACTGGATTAAGCACTTGTAGTGTTGTGACTTGTATGTATTCATGGATGTAAAATGGTATTTGACTACAGATGATGCTGAAATTATAATGAATGACTTGATAAAAGACCACAGTTGAATTTAGTAATTAGGATTGAGACAAAAACAAACATGGACATGATAATCAATATAAACCAACTTTAATGTTCCAGTTATTTACAATGTATTTAAATCACAATAGCCCAAAAATGTAAAGTTTATCAAATAACAGAATGGATAACTACCTAAATCAATGTACCAAAGAGAGAGAGAGAGAGAGAGAGAGAGAGAGAGAGAGAGAGAGAGAGAGAGAGAGAGAGAGAGAGAGAGAGAGAGGGAGGGAGGGAGGGGGAGGGAGGGAGGGAGGGAGGGAGGGAGGGAGGGAGGGAGGGAGGGAGGGAGGGAGGGAGAGAGAGAGAGAGAGAGAGAGAGAGAGAGAACTGGGGGGGGAAGTGGGAGGGAGAGGGAGAGGGAAAGAGAGAGGGAGAGGGAGAGGGAAAGAGAGAGAGAGAGGAAGAGGGGGAGAGAGGGAGAGAGAGGGAGAGGGAGAGGGAGAGGGAGAGAGAGAGGACTGGGAGGGGGAGTGGGAGAGGGGAGGGGAGGAGAAGGGTGGGAGGGAGAGAGGGAGGGAGAGAGAGAGAGAGAGAGAGAGAGAGAGAGAGAGAGAGAGAGAGAGAGAGAGAGAGAGAGAGAGAGAGAGAGAGAGAGAGGGAGGGAGGGAAGGAGAGAGGAGAAGGAGATAATTTTCCATAATGCAATAATTTTTATCAGGAGCTATCATGGACAGGCTTTGCAGTCAATGACCCTTATGAGGGACCAGTGAAGGAGATATCCCAGATGGCACATGTTTAGTGTCAATCTCTTTTCATGCTGCAGATAATACATCTCTCAAATTAGGTTTTAAATGTAAGATTTAACATGATTAACATTTTCATAAAAAAAAATTCTCTTAGGTTGCTGATTAGTCACTTTAAACATTGGGTATTTCGTACATTGAAAAATCAAAATTTTGAAGTCAGTTATATTGTATCTTTCTAAATCATTTTTACATGTCAAATTTATCTCCATATATTACCATAACCATGTTAAGAGTCAAATCTTGAATCAACTTCAAATGCTTTATACTAATTTCTAACCTATACGTTTATGTCTCGTAGATGAAAATTGTGATATTGTACTTAAAAGAATTTTCAGACTAAATATTGATTCAAATCCCATCTACCTTACTTTTTGTTTTTCTTACTTGCTGTGGAACTCACCATTGGTGCAGGATGTGAGGCACTTGGACAGTAAGGTCCCGGTGGCAGGACATTGTTGGAAGAGCCTGGCATATTGCTTTGGGGTGGTGGGGGCAGGTGGTTAGACTGATTGGTATTCGGTCGCACTGCCCAAACTCCCTCAACACTCATTCCTACATTCACTGCACCCTGCCAATCAAAGAATAAAAATGAGAAATGACAAGAGAATAAAAGTTAAAAAATGATAGGCAGCAAAACTTACTTCTTAAAATAACCATACATGAGTTTGAATAAACATCTACTCTGATTGTCTTCAAACTAAATTGTCTAATCCAGGGGTTCTCAAACCTTTTAACAATTTTTTTTTTATTGAATCCCTATTTTTTCAATGAAGGAGGGAGGGAGGGAGGGAGGGAGGGAGGGAGGGAGAGAGATGGGGTTGGGGTGAGGATATGCTCGCTGTATGAACAGTAGAGCTGCAAGAGGCAATGAGGAGGGGGGGGGGGGGGAGGTTTGGTTGAAGATAGTGTTGGCAGAGCTTCAGAAATTTCTGAAGATTTACTGAAATTTTGACTTACTGTCCGAATCTAAGGAATCAATATAATATTAACCCGTATCTGCCGGGCTGTGCCTCTAGCTGTCCTAAGAAACCAACTCATTATGTCAGGTATGGCTATAGACAATGCAACGTGCTGCAGTGAGTGGAGTGGCCAAATGGCAGGACAGCTGCCAGAAGTCACTTGAGTCAATGACACCAACAGATTTCTGATACCGTCATTGAGGGGCCTAAATCATTCTATCAGTGTCTTGTATTCTGCATGTTTTTACAAATCATTATTGAGATTTTAAAACTGGAGGCTTGAGTGGTCCCTTCTACCCCCAGTAAACATTCACTGTCCCCTGGTTATTCATCGGCACCCTTTCCACCCCTGGTCTCATCTCTTCAAGTTGAAGAAAGCTCTTCCCTAATTTTGGATTCCAAAGTAGGGTATCTACATAAATATTTAATGAAGTTTTGTTAAAGGTATGATGAACAGTACAAAATGCTATCTATATGATCTAAACTGATTAATAATAATAAAGATTACCAGGAATTTACAGAAAGGTTATAAAGGAAACTTGCATGACATTCTGTATGTGAAAGCAAAGTACTTTAACATGAGTATCTGAATATGATAGCAAAAAATAAATATTAATCAATTCACCAAAATTTCAATATCTTACTTTATGAGAAATAAACAAGGAAAGTTCAAGAAATGTGCTTACCTCAAATATATAGATCTCACAAATACAGTTCAATTAAAAACAAAAATTATGAGATATTTGTCTCTCTAACCCATACACAAAATTTGATAAAATGACCATTCATACTTACGGCAAAAGGTGGAAATGCTTCTCTGGCAGGACTCTCATTATTTCTGTAGTTACTAGAATTTCCACGGCCCACTCCTCTATTTGGGTAGTTTCTGAAAGGAAAGATATATTTTCTTTTATCACTGTTTCCCATAGTGTATAATATTCTCTATTTCATTGTCATACAGATGGTGTAAGCACAACCATGTTCCCTTGGCATTCATAAACAATATCCAACAACATTGGGAAGTGTTGCTTCACACCGTCTATCCTCAGCTAACCAAAGGTGCAGCCAAACCTTCTCCTGGGTCACATTATCACTAGACCTTGACTTGTGCTACCTTCCACCCCAATATGCTTCCTGCCAATGTTGCCTTCCCACATTTTTTAGTCCGTATCTGCTAGGCCATCATAACAAACAGACTATACAGCTATAGTAGTTGCAATGTGCTAGAGTTTGTTGAGTAGAAAGTTCTGCTACATGTAATGGACTCCCTGGCCAAAAGGCAGGATGGTTGCCAGGAGATTTTTGATGCCGTCACTGAGGGGTTAACATTCACCCATTGTTACTAGACCCTCTTCTGGTATACATCAAACTGCACCATGCCGGCTACTTTATGCTGCCTATTCTCACCTTTACCTCCCTCCTGTCAAAGCTGTTAACAATATGTTTCTGCCCTCTATCTCACCAATCTGATCAGCCAAGTATTTATGAGCCCTTGTAACCCTAATAACCATGGTTCATGAAATCGTCATTTTACCCTCAACATCTCATTCCCCTGCCCATGACTGATCCTTCACTGTAAAATTAATTTGAGGTGTTATTCAACTCCCCATCTCCTTTTGCATGTCAATATATTTGATTTAGTCTCATGCATATCATTCATTATTGCTATTTTTTTTATTTTATATGTTATATTATTTTATCACCTACATGTTGTATGACTAATAGAAATTACTGTGTAATATCAAATCCTTATCTTGTACTTGTCACACTGATCATTTGCTTAATTCAGATACTTGCCCTATCTCCCAACAACTTGACCACTCTACATGAAATTCACCCTAGGATAATGAATAATGAATAGCAAGAAGTGCCAAAACTCATTTTCATAACATCCTACCAAAGTTTGAGATCTTGTCCTCATTACCCCAAATCTGACAGGCATGGCCTGTATATACATGCCAAAAAAAGAAGAAGAAGAAGAAGAAGAAGAAGAAGAAGAAAAAAGAAGAAGAAGAAGAAGAAAAAAAAAGGAGAAGAAAGAAAGAAAGAGAACAGATGGTACTTTATCTTCTAAATAATGACAAAGCAAAATAGGCTAACTGTCAATACCATGACTCAAATAGGTTTACACAGTTATAAACACCTGATTTTCAGTCTGACACACGGTTTGTTAGTGATAGAGAATCTGCTTTCCACAGCACTACTGGATATGTAACATGAAACTAATGGTTGTCAATCCTGTTGCATGTAATAACACCTTGTCATAGGTAACTGTCAACTCTATGCCTCAAATCGGCTTACAAAGGTAGAAACACCTGAAAATTATTTTGTCTAGATCATGGCTGTAAACAAAATAGAATGTGCAAAGACATGGAATTCTTGTTAATTATGAGTAACCATCTTTCCCTCCATAACATGATGGTACTCTACTAAGTAATTAACCCCTTCAATCCATCATGTCATGAAAAAATTTGGCTTGTGGGGGAGGCAACGTGAACATGTAGTCATAGGAAAATTTGGCTGGGTCCATCTGTTGTCCTATCTCTGATATATATGGCCTACCTAAAGCCTTTTCTTCTTTTTGATGTTCGCAAGTATATTTTCCACTTTTATCTGTTCCCTGATCCATCTCACCCTCATCCGATCTCATAAGCTAATTCCCAGTATCAACCTCTCCACCCCTCTCTGGGCACTTATTAGTTTCCTCTCCAGTAATTTGGTTGTAAACCATGTTTCTGATCCATAGATCATAACTTGGAGGACGCATTGGTCAAAGACTTTTCTTTTTAAACATAATGACAAAGAGCCTCTTAGTATGCTACTGTGTCTGCCGAAGGCACTCCAGCCTAGACTGGTGTGTTTATTTCCTCTTTGTTAGATGTGTTTGTATGAGTTGTACATGTATCTATTCGAATCGAACTTTATTGTTGAGCATGACCTTAGTCTTTTTCTTGATCATCCTAAGTCCGTCTTTCAGACGTTCTCTATTCAGATTGTTTATTAACCCCATTCCCACAGAATACGCCTTCCGGTGTCAAAACAAACCGCCTAATCTATGGAGTGTGGCTGTATGCTGTGGCAACGTGCTAAAGCACTACAAGCTGGGCATTCAGCTTGATGTAGTGAACTCCCGCGCTCAAAGTTGGCTCTTTGCCATTAATCTCCAGAGTATAGAGTTTTTTTTTTTTTTCTTCACCAGTCAGTAAGGGGTTAATTGCTACATATCACTTGCAGATTCACTAAAGTCAACAATATCATCTGCAAATCGTAGACTGTTTAGTATTCATCTCTTATTTTGGTACCCTTTCTGTTATTCTAGCTTCTTGAATATTTCCTCAAGGAAAGCAAACAGTTTTGGTAAGATGGTGTCACCCTGTCTGACAGCTTTTTTAAATTGGCATTTTAATGCTTTCCATGTGGAGCTTGATGGCTGCTGTCCCATTTTCATATATATATATATATCTGCCAATATATTACAATACATTATATATCTACTGACTAATCAATGAATGTCATACAAAGGAGTTTCCTATACTTGTTTATTTTTTCTCCTATTTGGGTGAGAGTGGATTCTGTTGTTGAGAATCCACTGCATAAGCCTGCCTGTTCTCTAGGCTAGTTAGAAACCTGACTGTCAGATACGTGAGCTGTGATGACTTTTGTAAATAATTGAAAGGAGGCTTATGGGTTGGTACTTTTTAAGGTCCCTGGAAGTCTCAAATAATTTTTGCATTTTCCAGGCTTTTGGAGTTTTTCTGTTGAGAAGGCATTTGTTAAAAAGATAGCTAGTTTCACTATTGCAATTTCTCCTGCATCTAATATAAAGTCTTTACTAATCCTGTCTTCACCTGGTATTTTCCCTCACTTCATGCCTTTAAGTGCTCTTTTTTTTTCTTCTGTTGTGATGTTAGGTACGTCTTTAGTTACCGCATTTGCTTTATATCTATTTATCTATCTACCTACCTATCTATATCATATATATTATATACATATACACACATTATATACCTTTTTATTTTTTGACATGCGTACTTCGTACACATACAGACTACTTTATAAGCGACAGAATATTACCAGGGAGTTCCAATGCAAAGCACATGTCATGTGTTAATGTACACAAAACTTGTATTTTGAAAAAGAGAGTTTCATTTTTTCTGATACTGGTATAAAACTGTTTTTAGGATATTCACGAACTCAATCTATATATAACGTCATTCAAATGCCATATGCATGTTCGCAAAGAGCAGAAGACCATGTAGGTAAACTTTGTACTAATTATCTGCATACATAATTCACCTGTTAGTGCTTATGCCCTTGCTATTCCTAAGAAATAACCAGAGGCAGGCTCTAACAATTTGGAATTTACATCATTCATGTAAGAATATCATAGGCCAACTAACTCCACATGAACTCTTCCTCAGGGACAGTCCCTTCAACCCAGTGGATCCAGGTACCTCGTGGTCCACAAGCGGACAAAAAAATGGGCATAGGATCACTGGAATCTTGACTCTCCTGGATTTATAGTTCACCCATAAATATACTTATGTGCAGTACCCAGACTCCCTGCCTCCCTTTTGCGAGGTTATCTTTTTTCTGCATAATCATGTTATGCTTTTTAACCCAATGATGACAGGTGAAGAAAAAAGAAGAAGAAGAAGAAGAAGAAGAAGAAGAAGAAGAAGAAGAAGAAGAAGAAGAAGAAGAAGAAGAAGAAGAAGAAGAAAAAAAAAACAAAAAAAAACAAAAAAAAAAAAAAAAAAAAAAAAAACACTATACTCTGGCAAACAATGGCAGCACGCCGACTTTGAACACAAGTTCGGTACATCAGGCCGAATCACTGGCTTGCTGCCGCCGTGTACAGCCGCACGCCACTTTTCGAGCGGTTTGTTTTCATGCCTAGCAGCGTCAACCGTCATGAAGGGGTTAAATATTTTCCAGAGTATATATTTGTCATCTGTTATGCTGTACCAAGATAGCAATAGACTGTTTTAGTTGAGCAGACTCTATTATCTATCTAAAAAATCTATGTAATAACAATATGAAACATGGTCTTCTTCGTTTATTATATTTTGGTATTATTCAAATTTTCTCTAACACCCTGCACCAACTATCACGGTGGGCAGGAATAGGATCGTGAGTATGGAAATATTATCCTCCATGGAACTGGTGCTCTTCTAGACATGGTACATTCCACCCTCAGAAATAATTCAAGAGACCCTTGCTAAATGTCACTGAGTATAATCTTTCTCCAAAAGCATTGTGCAATCATGATGAGTCATTCCTGTCACTCCTAGTCATATTTTTCATGAGGGCCCAATTTTATCATGGTGTGAGCCATATTACCTAGATTGACTGGGTTAAGCTGTAATACTGACTGTGAATGTTGCGAAGAGGTGATCTACTCATTTTTACCATTTTTTTTTACCCCTCTCTCTAGTAATTGTAGCAAAGAGGCTAAATCCTAATCACTAATACCCACCTCCTTCAGCTCTCCCTTCAGTGAAATTAGGCCTGCACCTGAAGCTTATGGTGCTGTCAGAACCTTCATACAGAGATATGGAGTGGAGTTCACTGAGGTCAAGTACAAATTTGTAAATGTTTGTTTGTCTCTCTCTATCACACACATATGTATACAGTATTCACATACTTATTATAACTAGACTGAGATCCTTGAGGTGTCCTAGAACGGGGTGAACTTCCATGTGCTGAAGGACTTCCTGCACCTCGTCCTCTCATCCCTGTACTGCTCGGTGGTGTCTGTAGAAATACAATTTTATGGTTAATTTATGAAGTATAAACATCTTTCTTTTATTATTCTTTTTTTTTTCCTTATAAAAGTATGTTACATTAATATTATCAATATATACTTTATAACTTGCAACTTCATATTCTATTTATGGAATTCATTTTTATGCTTTGAAAGCATTTTTGGGTGATTTTTTAAAAATCTCTGAATGATCTATTAAGGTAATTATCACTTAGTAATTAGATATACTGAAATAAATGTTCATTCTAATATTCTACTGTTACAGTAGAACATTGCCAGTGATATAGAGCAGGAATGGAAGTAAACTGACATAGCTACACAAGTGCAGGTAGATAAGGATAATTGGGAAAATGGCAATAATTTATATGACACCATTTGAAATACCAATGTTTATGGGAGTTCCACTATTAACAGCACACACACTGCAAGTTACATGAGGTGATGAACATTTTAATCTAACCCATTAGATATGGTTGTGTCACGGCAATTGCATCACCAAAAATCCAGGCATTAGGCTTCCATGAGCAGAAGCTCTGCAGGGTGGCTGAATGCACATGAACGTGTGCATTGCGACAAGACTCTTTTTATACATAAGCTTTTTAAGCTTTCTGGCCTTTTTCCAATGTCCATGTTTGCCATTTGATTTGCACAATCCAGATGGTTATAGTTTTTTTTTTTTTTTTTTTTTTTTCAATTCTTTCCAAAAATGTATTTTGCTTTCGCATGTTTATTTGACAATCATCGGCGATGGTTATAGGTATACTATAGTTGTATACCATTTTTGGTTGGTGGAAATCCATATCCAGCCAACAATCTTGATTTGTTAAGTAAATACCCCAATGGAGGGGGGTCTGGGGGCAGAGCCCCTGATAGCCAAATACCCTAATGGAGGGGGGTCCGGGGCGGGGCCTCTGATAGGGGGTTAGGTAAGGTTGCTGGGTTACAACGTTTTGTGTATAAACGTGGCATCACAGCTTGTTAATGATGTGCATTTCCGTAGATTTTAATGAACGTGGGCATGTCTTCCTATAGACTTTGAACGATGGCATTGCGAGGTGTAGAGCCTTTGAAATGTGGTGTGTCGGCCCATAGACTTTCAACACTAGTGGGCGTAGAGTTTCCATAGAGTTTCTTGAGCTGATTTTAACGACTTTCTTTTACTGTTTCATGCATTATTGCATTATATTTATTGTATTTAAGCCTGCTTTACCCCATAATTTCCCTGGTATACTACATGCCCTCCCCTACTATCAGGACTTAACAAATCAAGATTGTTGGCTGAATATGGATTTCCACCAACCAAAAATGGTATACAACTATAGTATATCTATAATCATGCGATTGTGAAAAACATTTTTGGAAAGAATTACCTTTTTTTTTTGTTGATTCCAATCATCTCTCATGGTATTTTACAACTCCATGCAAGAAAAATAAATGTATGTAATACTGTTATTTGTGTAATTTTTTTTTTTACGTAATATTCAATTTTCTGTAGTACCAGGGATACGACATTGAGCTTGGAAATGGCTTCCTCCATATAGCCGGAACTCTTCCAGTCACCACTCACGGACATTTCATTCCTCACTTGTACATGCATAATCGTCAAATGAGTAAAGTAAACCTCCCAATACGTTTGTGTATTCGTAGCGAGTCTTTTCCATTACCCCAGTCTTCAGATGCAATGCTTATGACAGCTGGTTCACATCACCCAGCCTACAGCCAAATTTTCCTTTAACAGTATATTCATATGACTCACCCCTGGATCTGGATTCTTTCTTGACATGATGGTTATGTCACTCAGATACATGCTGGAATGCCATACCCCCCCTCCCCCAATCTTTGCTTTTATTCCACTGGCAAATTTCCAGACCATATGAGGTTTCTCTGCTATCTTTTTTTTTTTTTTTTAATACAAATTACCAAGTTATGATTTACAATTTGGTAAGTTATAAGTGATGTGATGTGATGTTTTATCAAAATCTACCAGAAAATAAAGAAATTGGCAATTTCCACTGATGGTCCCCATAAGAAACTGTCTGACTGAGTGTGTTACACACTGTTTTATATTACCCATTTTTTCATTTCTTAATATCTCAGTCAAATGACAAATAAAGATGCTGAAAAATGTGTGGACCTGGCATGGCTTGGCAGATACGAGTTAACCCATTCACATCAGGTAAAAATGAACAAAAAATGGGGAAAATGCTGTGCTCATTTTTTATATTTTTTAATGAAATGTCTCCACACTAGATGGTTCTGCCTTACCTGATTTCACCTTTACTTGAATTGGCGGGAAAATGTATTTTTACTAGTGCTATGAATATCGATGGTTATTTTTATTATAAACATCGGAATTACTATAATGTTATAAACATTAGTAACAGCAAAATAAGATAACGTAAGATATTTTCATAAATTGAAGAAAAGGGTAAACAGGCAAGACAGGTAGTACAAGTACAAGTGTAGCCATCTATGTGTAAAAACAATCAAACAAGTAAACTCACAGTGGGCCCGTCACGTATACGTGACACCTGGCATGAATGGGTTAAGTACCTCCAACAATAATCTGACTTTACAGATAGATAAAATGTGTTAGTACAGCAATGGCAACCACTCAGTCAATGAAAGACTTACTCTATAATCTCTTAGGGGGGGGGGGGGAACAAAATATAGACAAAAAAATAAATAAATGAATTGTAACACAGTTTTCAACATCTAAGAATGGGGAAATATTTTGTTGACATGACCTTATGGGAAAAGGGGGGAGGGAAGGGATTGATTCCAAACATTCAGCAAACAATCTACCAAAATGAAAAAACAGTAAATGTTTCATGGTGAGCTGTCTGATCCTTAGCTGCACCTGTAATGAAATTTTCTCATACTGCTTAGCATAGGAATGCAGGTTTTAATTTACTAAAGATATGAGCTAAGGGTGTGAAGATCAGTAAAAGTTTACAGTACTGTTAAAAAGTGTGGTTCATGGTGTAACTGCCTAAATCTAAATCATTTATATACTTTAGCAGGTTAATGGCTTTGGTTGTAGGTCCTCTTACTTCACCAATGATATTTATAAAAAATAAATCAATTTTGTTACTGAGACTTCATTTCATGACAAGGACTTGGTTTCTAGGATTTTCTCATCTGATAGATCTAACAAATTTTAGCTGAGTGGTTGGAGAAAAAAAACAACATACTAATAAGAATGACAGTAAAGGTAAGAATGTTTTAAAGTTGCCAATGTATAGTGAAATTATAACTTTTGATATTTTACTAATAGATGCAAATACAACTGTATCCTTTTATAGAACTATAAGTTTGCAAGAGAAAGGAAAATATGCATATAACAAGACAATGGCTAAACTCGCCTGACCAAGGAATGACAATATGTGGAAAGGCACTGTCAGTAACCACTAAATATCAGTAGTAGAGATTCCTATTGTCATTCTTGCTAGTATGGACATACCTGTTAGTTGGCTATATCTCCTACTGTCTTGGCCTTCGATGATGGGCCTCCTACATGACTGACTGATATAAACTTACACAATATCTTAAAGAAGTATTGATGGGGATAAATGTTAATACCTCACGGGACTGCTTTCCTCCCTTCTTCTTGCTCCTCGTGACAGCTGTTAAAGATGATCAAATGTGAAAACAACATCAGCAGCAAAATTGCCAACCTTAAATGTAATTTGGCCTAACAAATGCAACTGCTAGTTTGTATTTACATTATCACTGTGAATTGTATTAATACATAAATGCATGAAAACTCTGAGATGTGGGTTATCGCAACACTTGGTAACTTGTGTTGTTATTGTGCACCTGACAGCATTTGGGAAAGGTTGTGCTTTTGCCCATCACTGTAAATACTATTAAAACATATTAACCCAATGGTGATGGGTGAAGAAAAAAAAAAAAACTGTACGCTCTGGCGAACCATGGCAGCGCATTTGAGCGCATGAGTTCGGTACATCAAGCCGAATCACTGGCTTGCTGCGTACAGCCGCACGCCACTTTTCGAGCAGTTTGTTTTCACGCCTAGCGGCGTCACCCATTGTGAAGGGGTTAACAGATAAATTCCTCTGATGCTACAAACCATGCATTTCATACATTATGTATGTAATATCCCATAAATGTAAGAAGGAGCATCTACATATATAACCACATATTGAATGATGAATGGATAAATCAGTTTTAGGTGCAATGCCTTGGTCTTGCATCATTGCAAAAAGCATTATTTTTTTTATTATTATTAAAGCCAATTTTGTTCTTTAATATCTGTAACCTTTGAATCTACATAACAGGTAGAAGATACCTTTCATTCAAAGTGATGTCAAACTTCAAAAAGGCTACTAATGCCACTGAGTATGAAAGGAAAAGAGAGTAAGAGAGAGAGAGAGAGAGAGAGAGAGAGAGAGAGAGAGAGAGAAGAGAGGAGAGAGAGAGAAGAGAGGAGAGAGAGAGGAGAGAGAGAGAAGAGAGGAGAGAGAGAGAAGAGAGAAGAGAGGAGAGAGAGAGGAGAGAGAGAGAAGAGAGGAGAGAGAGAGAAGAGAGAGAAGAGAGGAGAGAGAGGAGAGAGAGAGAGAGAGAGAGAGAGAGAGAGAGAGAGAGAGAGAGAGAGAGAGAGAGAGAGAGAGAGAGAGAGAGAAAAGAGAGAGAGAGAGAGAAAAGAGAGAGAGAGAGAGAAAAGAGAGAGAGAGGAAAAAAAAAGAGAGAGAGAAAAAAAAAGAGAGAGAGAGAGAGAGAAAAAAAGAGAGTGAGAGAGAGAGAGAGAGAGAGAGAGAGAGAGAGAGAGAGAGAGAGAGAGAGAGAGAGAGAGAGAGAGAGAGAGAGAGAGAGAGAGAGAGAGAGAGAGAAGAGAGAGAGAGAGAAAGAGAGAGAGAGAGAAAAGAGAGAGAGAGAGAAAAGAGAGAGAGAGAGAGAAAAGAGAAGAGAGAGAGACAAAGAGAAGAGAGAGAGACAAAAGAGAGAGAGAGAGAGAGAAAAGAGAGAGAGAGAGAGACAAAAGAGAGAGAGAAAAGACTTACTGAATTCAGATTCTGGGGGAAGGGTTGATTTCTTATAATAACCAGACAAGTTTTTGTAATTTGCTATCACCCCACCCCCAGTGCCTGCAGCTCCATTGTTGGCTGCTCCCTGCTGCATTTGTGCATGCCATGGTGACCGAGGTGGAGAGGGTGGTACCTTTTCTAAGGATTCATATGGCACCTTCAACCTATAGAAGAGCCAAATGTTAATAAACTGAATATTGAATTCATACTGAGGAAAAGGCAGAATTCATAAAAATGATTCTGTATGCATGTGTATCTTTTTGACTAACCTGCTGCCAATTTCTTCAATATAAACATCTACTGGTCCCTTGTTTTCAGACATCTCTTGTATATGACCACGATAAACATCCACTCTCTCCTCAGTTGCTTTTCCCACATTTCCTTCCCCACTGCCTGTAAAAGAGTAAGAAGAGTTCAGATGTTGCTTCTGAATTCTCAGAACTTGAAGGTCTTGACTTCTATATCCTACACGTAAAAGCAGATGCTATATTATGTGAAAAGACTAGAGTACCACTACCCTGCCGGGTGGCTATGTGGGCCTTCCGCAAGTCTTCCACTTCTTGGCGGTTTGGTAATAATTCTAATTTTATCAGCACCTTTACACCTGCTTGGAATCCATTGCTATCAAAGGGACCATACCGAGCTTCTGTAAGTGGAGAAAAAAGAAAGAAAGAAAGAAAAAAATACTACTGTGGTATAACATATGAATAGCTTAAACTAAGTTTTTCAGATTCTCAAAACTCATGTAAGGTGTAGGGGAGAGAGTTACAAATGCACCTGCACCTTCCATGTCAATATCCTAGACTATGTGCTATAACAGACAGTAATTTATATGAATGTTTGTATCAAATGAAGTAAGAAATTTAATGTATAATTTGAAAAACATAGTAGCCTTACCCTATTATTTCAGCCAACTATTTCATATCTAACAAATTTAAAAGGAATAATAATCACTAAACTGGTGTGGCTTGTCTTACCTCTCCTAACAGTGTTCCAGGCATCATACTCAATATTTCGATATATGTCAGGATCTAGGGATTTAGCAACTTTATATGGGAATGGTGGGATGCCATGGGCAAGGAGACCTTTCACATCATCTGGATGGATGTCTTCTAAACTATGTCGTTCTTCTGTACTGGTGCTGAAACGAGACATTTAGTGCAAAATTAGTCACTTCATTAATCCGATTACACATAAGTTGAAAGTTGGAGAGGACTAGAAGAGGACTGGGAGAGAGTCAAGTATAGTACATTCTATATACTTAATATGGCAAAAGAAGACAAGCACTCCTACTCGACTTACTTTTTATCACCCTCATCTTGACTATTATCTCGTGAAACACTAGTTCCCAGTATTTTTTCCACAAGGGCACCTATCTCTTTCAGTTCTGCTGAGTTAGCTGAATCTCTTCTAAGGGTTGCATATTCTTTGTCATGCAGCATTGTGTCCACAGCTAGCCTTACATCTTTTAGTTTAAAAACTCTTGAGTATAGTATGTCATACACAACAGCTGTGGATTAAACATTTGTTTAGCACAATGTCAATTTTGGAAAACCTCATTCATTACACTATGATTCTGAAGACACCTTGAGAAAAATAACTGCAAATAAATGAATAACTACAGACAACTTGAGAAAAATAATTGAAAATAAATGATTCTTAACTCTGTTTATGTTCATTCTATATGAGGAGCAAATACATCCAAAGGACCATGAGGAAATAACAAAAATAACAACAACAATAATAATAATAACAATAACAGTAATAACAACAAAACAGTAACAATAACAACAACACATACACTGGCAAAATCCTCGAGATGAAGCATGATCTTTTTTGTACACAATGTCATAGTGGTTCCCATTGGTAAAACTGAGCATAAGAGTTCTGGGGTGATCATAATCTGTAGCTTTGCAGGGTGCTCTTCCAATGCCTTGGTAAATGAGGAAATCGACCCTGAAAGATGACAGAGTAATCAATGAAATTAGCTAACAAAAATAATTTTACTTTTACTTAAAGAACCTGATACAAAATGTATTTATATTACTTCACCAATTATTGGACACCCTACTTATCAATTAAACTAACTAAAGGGACTTCATCCTATGCCAGATCTCACTCTGGCATCTACAACTACTTACTTAAAAAGGCGTGACATGGCCAGTATTTCAGTGTGGCCTCCCCATTCCCTAACATCCTGGAGATTAAACACATGATGGTCTAATGGTATGTCCAGAAACTGAAAAGGGTTATTGTCAAAGGTTAATTCTAGAAAGGAAGAAAGAAAAAAAGAGAAAATAATAAGTAAATAAACAACAACTACTAATTAGATATTAAATTTTACCTCATTATAAGTATAGAATCTCTACATAACTGAATTACTTTTGCCATGATAACACAACTATGAATATAATTTGGGCAAAATCTAATGGTCACATAAAACAAGGAGTCAAAATTTACAGACCATCTAACAATGCTATCTATTCACAATATAATGATATATAATATCCAGAGATGACAATATTCATAATGCAACACCGATAATTATTCAAAATAAAGTTTTACCTTATGTGAAAG